ATGTTAAGCTTTAGGACAATAATGTTTGCAGGTAAATTTTAAGTGGAGGTATCAAATCCACATTGAGAGACTAAATAGTAATCATAAATCCTGCTGAAGATAATGAAGTGCTTTAATTATTTAACTAGTTGATGAATTTGGAAGTTATTGGTTCATTGAGTCCCCAAACTATTCTCTTTAAATCCTTTTTAGCAAAATCGTGTGGTGGGAGCTATGCAGCTATATTCTGTAGATAGGAAAGTGTCTCAGCCCATCGAAGGACATGCAGCTAGTTTTGCCCAGTTTAAGATGGAAGGAAATGCGGAAGAATCAACGTTATTTTGTTTTGCAGTACGGGGTCAAGCTGGAGGAAAGGTAAGTTTTGGCTTTGGTAAATATTTTAGTGAGAGCTTGTCTTTGTGTTTCTGCTACTAATTAGTCATCTAATTTCAAAGTAGTCTTCTCCCTTTCTTGTTAATTTGTTTTTAATATTTAGATTTGTGATGACTTAGTTTGTTTAAATTCTGCATCTAATACTTTTCTAAAATGAATAATGTTCTTTGACAACTTTTTTTCTGTCAGCTGTTTACATTAATTATTTTGATGGCCTTTACCGAAAGTCTGAAGTTGGTGTTTTTCAACTTTACTGTGCATTAGAGTCATTAGGTTTGCTAAAATGCAGATTTGTGTGCCATACATACAGAGAATTTGATTCAGTAAGTGGCACTCAAAACCTGCATTTTTAAATATCCTACATGACTTAATATACATGGATTGTGGACCACAGTTTGAACACATTGCCTTAAGCGGTTTCAACCCTGGCTGTACATTGGAATCACCTGTCCAAAGTACTTCATATGTTGAGAGTTCTTAGCTGCACAAACAAGGCCTGGTTGATTAGAGCATGAAAAATTTAGTGAAATGGTATTGGATAGTTTACAATAGCCAGGAAGTCTGTACAGCCAACCTTGGAAAATGTGGAGTAAAATGGAAGAATGAGCAGCAGCCAGGATTCCAGCCAAAAACCATGCCACAGAACTCATGCTGCTATGACTCCACTGTTGGATGCCTGTAAACTCAATTTGACTACTGTTTCCACTGCCAGAGTAGAATCTCTGAAGTCTTAATAACTTTGTGTCCCTAGCTCCCTGTTCAAAGTCCCAAGATCTTAGCTCTGAAAGGTTTGGAAAACAAGTATTTAGTGTTTGGTGCTTCTAAAATGGAAGGCTGGCTCTACTTGCCCTAAAAACTTTTAAAGAGTACTCTCCCTTCTGTTCCCCCATCAGGAGGAGGGTTTAAATTCTGGGCAGACTAAAAACCTTGAACTTCATCTTTTTTAGAACGTTTGTATTTTCTTTGCTAAGTACTTTTTTTTTTTTTTTCCCCCTTTTTGTCTTTTTTACTGACCGGTAACGGGATCGCAACCCGCGGTGTCGCACCCGTANTGCAGATTGAGTAGAAATTGAGTTCCTCTATGAATGATTTGGGATTTTTACTATAGGGTATATGTGCTCTAATGTAGGGTGAATACTTTTGTATCTTTTTCTTTAAGATAGTGTAAAAAGATGGTTGTATATGAGGTACATTTTAAACATTTATGTTAAGCTTTAGGACAATAATGTTTGCAGGTAAATTTTAAGTGGAGGTATCAAATCCAC